CCCCTCAGGCTTTTTTTGACTGTTCCTTGTCCCACCAACTCAGGCCTTCTTGTCACAAGTATGAAATGAAATCAGTGTACTTACATGTTTCAATAAAAGATCTTGATGGAGTCACTCCTCAGAATGTAAAAATGGGGAAAGGGAACATTTTATTCCACTTAGTGCTCCCTTTATTGGATACTTTAGATACACGTTTTGGGGTTTTGTTTGGGTTTTTTTCCCTATTAAACTGTCAGTGTTGTGATTGTAATGAAATGGTAAGAATGGTAAGAAATACCCAGCTAAACTGTGCTCTGGAAAGCTTTTCAGGTGCATTGGTTTGAAAGGAGGAGTGTTAAGTATCAGAAGACTTCAGTATCCAAATCAGTCAAAATTCATTGTAAATTCATTTGTGTTCCCTCTTCAACATGGGCAATAATGTCAAATGTGCTATGCAGCTAGTTAATATTTTAGAAGATTTGAATTATGAATTTATTGACAGAATTGTTACAATGCACACTGATTGTACATAGATAACTTCTATCTGACAAATTAAATTTAAACTAAAAGGACATGTGGGTCTTGTAGTTTTCTCCTGTGTTTTTCTGTTACTTTTTCTCAGGTTTACCCATAAAAGCATTAAAAGTACTAAACTTTATTCCTTGTGACAACTAGGGAGGATACCTGGCCTGGCCTCATGTGGCAGGAGCTGTATTTGTTGCTCTGGTTTTTCTCTGCTCTTGCAATCTTAAGCATTTTTTCCAATTAGACAGGTTTGTATGAAAGCATTAATATAGAACCAAAAATCTGTCCTCGGAGTATTTTTTAGATCTCAGTGTAGGCACATTAAGTATTAAGCTCATGTAGTGTAGGCTGGGACTTCGTTAATTAATGCCGCTTCATTTCTTAACTCTTCATTTTGACAGGATCTGGAGGGTTTGAGTTGTTCTGCTGTCAAGCTTGATGGCTGCAGCAGTGTTAAGGCAGCGGAGTGGTGTCTGATAAGGTGCACCTTCCAGGGGGGAAAATCTAGAAGTGGGAGTATCTCTGGTCCCTGACCCAATTCTCCCTGCTCAGGAAGTGCTGTACAGATCCATCAGGAGAGCACAGACAGGGCATCCCACAGAGCCTACACCAGTTCAGCTGTTACGGCACTGTGACCTCACTCACTGTGCCCAGTGTCACTGGGGTTGGTCTGCAGGTGTTTGCAGTGAAGATACCTCAGGTCTCTCAAATAATGGGTGGCTGTGATGATGGAGATCTTTGGGAATTAGTCTACTTAGGCTTTGTAACTTTCATTCAATCGTATTTACAGATACACAAATCACATTTGCCTCCATTTAATTTTTCCCCTCTGTTTTGCATTATCAAACTGCTGGTACTTACAATTTAACAAAGATAACATCCATTGCTTATGAGGCCTGTTGTGGTGTATCTTACTATGCAATCCCATATCCTCTGCAAATGAGACATCATTCAGTCAATGCACATAAATTTGATCTTTCCTGTGTTCATTTGTAATGAACAGTCTCCAAGCAGTGTGTCAAGTTCTGAAGCATCCATCAGTTACTAGTGTTGCCTGTCTGTCAAGAGGTTTTGGAAAGTAAAAATTCTGATGATTGCAAGAGAATTCCTCAGACGGCTGTTGATAAAACATTCTGGTGTCATCTACCACACAGGGAAGTCTAAGATTTCCATCTTAATCCCGTTGCACATTTCTAGTCTACCATTTCCAGTACTACCTAAAAAGAATAGATTGTTGGTCAGTCTGAAAAAGCACATGAAAAAACATTGTGCTGCTCTTAGTTTTAAGGACAGGGAAATGCATTTTCTGGCTGCTGTTCTTTGTCAGGGGCTGTGAAGTGATGTGACCATCATTTGCTCGCAGCCGCTCCGTGTTTTCCCCATTTTGATCCTCAGTGCAGATGTCCTGGTGTCTGAGCAGCACTCGGCTCCTGAGTCCCGAGAGCCTTCCACCAGTCAACAGGACTTGAAAAGGATTCAAGCACCAACCACAAGAGGGTGGCAGTTACTGCTGGAACATGATGCTACTACAAAAGGAGAGTGCCCTGACCTCCTTTTGAGACACTGACTTCCTGATGAGTATCTTTGATGCCTGTCTTCTCTGTTTCTGAATCTTGATTGGCTTGTTTTGTGCCTGTGTGATAGTTTGTCATCCACAAGTGGATGTTGTCACTTCTACGGCTCTTACTGGATGGCTGCAGGATTCCACTTGCCTTATAAAATCCCAGTGAAGTAGTCTGGTAGCAAGGCAGCTCTAAGGAGCTGTTTCCATCTCTAGTGTTATATTTAGTGTTGTCTTCAGTGACAATAGCTCTTTCTTGCAGGAAAGTAACATTACTTAGGAAGATTGGCAAGACTGAAGACACTATAGGAGTTCGTCCTGATGAGACATTTTATTGCAATCTTCTCCATGATAAAGTTGTATTTGACCAACAAATTAAGTAAATCCTGGCTTATTTTTGTGTACTAAGATGAAATGAAGTCTTTAGAAAAAATAAATGCAGACAATCTCTTGCTTCCTTCTGTTAGAGAATAGTAAGTGTTAAAATCAGTAATACGTGGTCATGAGTCATCCATTTGTACTAAACAAGGTTTGTTTTACTGAACTGTGTTGGGACAGGTGTATAGTGCTGTCACTTTATGTCTGCATTCTTCCAACAAACTACTGTGGGTGCACCTGAAATTTTTGTTCTTAAAATTTTATGCTGAAGCTTTTATTTGTGAAACACTCCAGAAGCAGTAGCTAAGAAATACAGTTGTGTGAGATGCTGTAAGAGCAGAATGAAGAGGAATGGAATTCATTTTTTTGTCTCTTGTAGTCCAATTACTAAAGATATTTAAGTTGAGGACACCTGAGCAATGGGGAGTACCTTCTGGTCCATCGATTCTTATGCTCTCAGAGATTGAATTATCATTTTGGTGAGGATTTTGGAAGCCCAGGCAAACTACTCCCCAAAATCAACCACAGGAAATTTTAGAGAATAGAAAAGGAAGATAACCCAGTGGAAAAGTCATTCATGTAATGTATCTAGGATTCTCCAAAGCACAGTGCATTCTTGGGAAATGCTTAATGAAGAGTTCCTATCTGGTTTCAAGTTCATACAGCTAAAATAGGGGCTTACTGGATTACCTGCTAGTCTAAAAATCATGTAGAGTGATGAAGGTGAGAGAGAAGGTGAGATGTGCTGCAATTAACCAGCTGTTAACAAGGAGCTGGGAGAATTGCTAGAACAGGTAAAAGAAGTGTGCCCCAGAGCATAGAGCTTTTATTACAGATGCTGCTTGATGGTGCATTTAGCCCTTTTTTTTGACAGTTCTTCAGATCATCAGAGTAGTTTCATGGTGGATTAAATACTGCAATCAAAAAGTTGTTGTCCTATGAGTAGCTACTGTCAAAGCACATTGCATGACCTTTATGGAAAGTGACATGAAAAACACATAGTTATTGAAGACTTAGGAAATCACTGATGCAAGACTTTTGAGATGTTTTAAAATACAAATTTTAGATCTAGACCGAATTTGTGCACCAAGACTCAAGTCCAAAGAACAAACCTGGACATTATTGTTACTATTTATTTGCTAAAAGTAAGTGTGTTACTTGACACAGGTTTTTCATCAAGCAGAGTTTTAAGTCTGTCTTCTCTAAAAATAAACATCCAGAAATCCCATCAGAAAATCACATACCACTGATCAAATATGAGAAAGTAGTAAGAGACTTTTTATTTCTGCAGTACTCTCAGACCTCCACTGAGTTTTATTTGCAATAGAGCTAGTATTTGCTGAAATAACAGGAGCATTTGCAAAGTAATCTCACTCATCACTTAAAATTAGCTATTGGTTTTGGTTTGCAGAAATTCTAGCACTGGTAAGTGACTACCTATATTGTATAGACCAAATGTTACTTTAACATTTGTTTTAATCACAGAGGAGCAAAGAGGACATCAAAGCTCTGATTTTTGTAAGCATATTAGAACAGCATTCTTTTCCAGTCTTGGAACTGTGCAATGCAGTGGATGTCTGAGAAACACATACAACTACCATGGCATCAAGTACCCCTAACAGCACTGTCAGAGGTCCACACACCCTCAAATGCCTTTCAGTTCTTCTGTCTGGAACTAACTGCTCCATCTCTTTTTGGTACTGCTTGCAAAGGAGTTGTTAATATGTGAGATAGATTTCTGTTTTAAATTTTTCAGTAAATTTGATTTGGGGGGCTTGGCGATATTCTTCCTGTAATGAAATCTGCAGGTGAATTCTCTGTCCAGAACAGAATAAGGAGGAGGTCAGTTTTGAAAGCTCTCAGACAGAAAATTGTAATTTTGCCTCCCTGAACTCTATCAAAACTATCAAATCTAGAAGGGAAAGGTCTAACCCAGTCTTTTTCTTGGCATGAAAGTAAACAGGGCTGGAGAATTACTTCCTGAGATCTTAAGGGTTTAATAAATCATGTCAAATTCCAAATAAATACATCTGAAGAGTTAGGGAGCAGTTATTCATTAACCGTAACACCATAGGGAAACACGCACAGGAAAGTGATACTCCATGAGGTTTAATGAAGAGGAAAACACTCACAAAGCACTGCATTCTCTAGTTTGGTGTTTTAAAACTGTGCACTTCCCTTCAAATGTACTGCACTGGGGCGGTCACTGGTAGTGCCTGAAAAGAGATACCTGGAGTGTACATTGGTGAGCTGGCACAGCACATCACCCCGTGGGTCCTCCATATTCTAGTATGATCTGGACAAGTTTTTAAAACACAAATTGACCTGGTATGTTTATTTTGTCAGTGCAGCCTTCCTCATCTTGTTTTGAATGAATTAATTTATGCTCAACAACGAACATAAACTCATCAGAAATAAACATATGCTCAGCTGTGACAGTTTTCAAGGATATAACCTCAGACAGTCATAGATGACTGTCCTGCATTTTCAAAATTCCAGAGAAAACTCCATAAATGTGAGTGCAAGTGGGAAAAAAACTAACCTTGTCACAATGGGAGAAAGTGTGAAGTTGAAAGAGTTTTTATTATTTCAAGTGCCACTACTGAAAACGAGAAAGTGTGATGTCTCTTAAAGCATCGATTTACTTGTAAACTACCCAGTTTGCTTTAAAATTTTTGAATATGTTATCTGTACTTGTAAGGATCACTCATACTGCGGTGGAAAAAATATTGATAAGGACAACACAATATTATTTAAGTATAAGACCCAAACCAGACCTTATTATTAGAACCACAACCTATATTTTCATAATTACAAAAAAGACATTGTCCTTAATTTGAAATTTGCCTGCCTTTACTGTGAGTCACGTTAGTTTTCCATTCATAACCTAAAGGCTTAAAATATGGGTTTGTAGTAATTACATACTGAATAAATAGATGGACTGACAGTGTACCATTTCTTTAAAAAAATCAATGTTTTCAATAAATACACTATAAAATTCAAAACCAAGGTAAGAATATTTTTGGATTACAGTATCTTCACTTCCCCTCCCCCCCCTAAAATTTAAGGGTGACTTGACATTGGCATAATTGCAAAACAACTTAAAAGTTAGGAGATTATAGCATTAAGTTTGTTTTCAGAATCTTAATTTAAACCCCTCTCTGCAATTTTTACAATGCAAGTTTAATGACAGTGCCCCAAATTATCTTTTTCTATGGAAGCCCACTTCATCTGCTGGACTGAGTACATCATAAGAGTACAGTACACAGAGTGCATGAAATAAATTCAGTATCTATTTTATCATTACTCAGTGTATGATCATGGGTAGGTCTCACTCAGTTGGTGCTTTCCAGCCAATTCAGGGATGTCACATCTCCATTTTTGTGCCAACCCCAGTGCTTTCGTGGTTACTCCAGGTCTTCCATCCAGGGGTGCAAATATGCCACAGTACCAGCTGGTTTCAGGTGTTGTTCGCTTTTTGCTTGTCAATTAAGAATTTTAACGAGATGGTGAGGCACTGTCTGTTTGCACCAAATATTCTGTATTACACAAAAAATAATTGCTCTCTCTCCAGTAAAACTCAACAGACAGAACAAATTACTGTACTTACTGAATGAAGTGGAATGTGACTGAAAAGAAAGGTTCTGATGGATTATCCTAATTTCTTTTTCATTATTATTTCTTTCCTGCATATGTGTCACCAAGAAACAGCCCTGTAGCAGTTACTATATATTCTTGTAAGTTTCAATCTCTTAAACACTTTACTATTTCTATGGCCACTTTTTAGATACCAATTGCTCTTGGTTTTGCCTTTTAATGTGATCTTAGAAAGCTAAAATTGAAGTGGTTTTTAGGAGTGAGCAGCAAGTATTACATTGTTTACCAATCAGAAAGTACTTCTTGAAGTGCAAGACGTTTATTTACAAAGCTCAGATTCATTTTGTTTTGTAAATTCACTTTAAATTTCTTTTCTCTTTGTTTGATTTACTTTCTGCTTTCCTTTGCTATTAAACCTTCTCATATGATTTTCCATCTTGAGTAGAAGATGGGGGTGGGGAAAGGAGGAATGTTACCTCTCTTGTCAGATATTCAGAGGAGCAATTTGAGTCACTGGAAGGAGCTGCACTTCCAAACTGTGCTGAACAGCAAGTGAGCTGCTGAAATGCTTCCCTTGGACAATTCAGAGCATGGTTTCTTCTTTGAGACTGTGACTGTGAAAGCTTAATGCCTAAATGGTTAAAAGAAATCTACTTGCAAATGTTTGCATGGGCTGTCATATGTAAAAAAATAAATACTGATTTCTCTAAACTTATGGTATGTTCAAAGAATACAGTACCCTGAAAGCTTTTCATATGGATATTTTTTTCCCCAAAGCATTGTTAATATTCAACTGTTTATTAACGTTAAATATGTAATGATTAACCATGAGATTATTTGTATTAATTTTCAGCTTTGTGAATAGTAAAATTTGACGCATCAAATGTTTGGGTTTCCTGTGGTCTATGTATTTCTCTCAAACCTAATTCAGATGTATGTCAACTGTATCTTGAGCTCCAGATCAGAGCAACATTCTTGCAATGAATCCAAAAACTAAAAATTTGAGAACTAGGTGGTTGCTAATTTCAGATCTTTCTAGACTGTGAAGTGAGTGCCACTGAGAGAACATCTAAAATGACCACTATAGCACAAATACAAGGAGATAATAATGGCTATTTCTTATATACTTTACTGATTAATATTTGAGGTAGTTTACAACATCAGAAAGAGGGACAAGAACAGAAGAGCAAAGGATCACATAATCTAAGAGAAGACCTTTAAAATGAATGTTGCAGCTGGTGGATAAAGAAAGTGAAACTTGCATCATGTGTTTGGTTAATACTGTAATAGAATTACAGAACCCTTAGGGTGTATTAAAAAGAGGAAAGCAGACAGAGAGCAAAGGAGAGTATTTCCAGCAATCCACTGATCTTAATTACAGTCCAGGGCAGTGCTTCTGAGTCCTGTTAACCTGTGCCTGACCTTGTGCAATCATGTCTCCTGACTGCAGCTGTAAGGGATACGTCAGCTTGTCTCAGAAGCCTGAACTGCTGCACTGGAGGGTGGAGGCAGAGTCCATGCATGCATCCAGGTGTGGGAAATGCAGACTCACAGGGGTAAAGACTGCAGGGTATCCTGCTCCACCTGCAGATCTGTGCCTACAGAAGAGATTCAGAGCCCTGGTGGCAGATAGGGGCTGGCGACACCCCCACATCTGGCAGCCTCTGAGCCTCTGGCAGCAGCAACTGGAGGAGGTGGGAACTGACAGCAGAGTGGAACTGCCTGTGGTGGGCAGAGGTCCTGGTGACCAGACTGACCCAGGCCATGGTCTAAGGAGGTTTGCTGCTTCACATGGGTTCTGCGGGGAAGCTGCCAACGCTCCTCTGGTTCTTGGCCAATTCAAGCACCAGCCATGTGGCCATGGGAGACCCAGAGCAGAACAAGAATGACTGTGTTGCTCTGGAGTTGAGGATCAAGGGAAACAGGGTCCTGTGGTGCCATTTGCCAGGAAAAGAAGGAGTCTGAGGAGTGGACAGATCCTGTGGATCAACAACCACTTTTGCAGCTGGTCTCAATTAGAGGCTTCAGCTTTTATGACCACCAGGCCATTTTGAAGATAAGGATGGATAATTGGTCCCATGTGACTGAGTGTGGCAGAACAGCTTCTCACGTCTGTCAGGCCTGGTGAGAAGAGCTTTGAACTAGGAAGATGATGATCCACCATCAAGAGAAGTTGCAACCTGGATTGACAAGCAAAGGGCTGAAGGTGATGTGGACAAGAGAGACCTTGCAGCCAGCAAAATAGGGCAGAAGGAGGCTGGTCCCACACAAATAAGGATGTGCAAAGAGGACTGCATTATGGTGAAAGTTCTCACACCCTTTCCAGAAAATCACGACGACTGGGCACCTCTCTACATACACAGTGCATGTAGTCACTACAGACTTCATCTCAGTGCCATGGCTTTCAACAGCTTAGCAACATCTGCCAGATCCTTCAGGATCTTGGGATGCATAGATTTGTGGATGTTCAAAATCAAAGGTCAACTGAAAAAAAATGGGGTTTGTTAATTTGCAGGAGTTACAGACTTTGGCAAGGGTTTTCTTGATATAACCCCAGAAACAGATTAGGAATTATCCACGTGTAGGTTATGTTGTGGATTTTTTTCTCTCTAGGTAGAAAATCTGTAGGAGTAGGAAAGTGAGAACGCAAAGCTCTGTCAACTTCAAAATGAAATGTGAATTTCTTCTTTTGGCTGCATATTTGCTTGCTTGAATTATATTTTGTGGGTGGCAGAGTGGGAAGGCATTGCTGAATAGCTACGGATGAAATGTTCTTCAGCTCTGCTGCCTCCTCAGTGTAAGGAAGTTATGAGAAGTGTTTTGTCCCTCTACAGAAAAATGCAGCTAATGGTAAGTGCTACGAGCTTGAAACAAAACTCTGCAGGTCACAGGCCGGGGAAAGAGCTTCCTCAAGATTCAGAGATTCAGCCAAAGCTGATACACAATACTCTAATCCCTGTATTCAAAGCTATGTGTAAGGGTGAAATAAATGAAGAATGGAAGAATTGTATTCGTCCTTCGTGAGGGGGTAGACTGAATGCTGGCCCTATGGGTAAAGAAAAGATGAAAACAAAAGATGGAGAAATTCCTAATTGTCTTAGTGTCTAAATCACCAAATAGTTACTCTTGCATATTAGAAAATTATGTCCAGAGATTAAAAATAAAGGAGACTCTCTATGTACATAGTGACCCATATGCACATTTAATAAAGAACTCCCACTGAGGGGAAATTAGCTTAAAAAACCCAAAACAAAAAAAAAAAAACAAACAAAACAACAACAACAACAACAACAAAAACAACAACAAAAAAACAAAACAAAACAAAAAAAAAAAAAAAAAAAACAACAACAAAAAAAACCACCAAAACCGAAACACCACCAAAACACACACACACACAAAAACCCACAAATACTTACATTGTTACGTGGGGACGTTTCATTACTGACTGTTCAGATAACCCTTATTGTCTACAATTAGCCTGCATTAAACAGCTCTTGGTTTAAGGCAAGTACTCCACCAGAGGCCAATACATTGCCATTTAACTGGCATTTTAAATAGCCAGTAAAAATATCTTCTGAGAAAAGCTGAAACTGGGAGGGCTTTTACTTCTTGTCATTAGATTAACTCCTTCACTTATAAAGGACCTGGTTTTAGATTGCAGAGCTGTGGAGTTTGATTGTTTTTTTACCCAGAGAGGTATTACATACAATATTGATTGTAAGTATTTGCATTACAATTGTTAGCGCCACCAGAGAAGTGACTTTCTCTTAAGATTGAAAGAGCTGGTAATGTTTTCACTTTGAAGTCAACCTCCTTATTTCACTCTCCCTCTCACTTTGCTTTTGGTTCACATCTCAGACTGGATGAAATGGATCTTTCCTGGTGGAACTAAATGGGAAAAAATGTTTCAGAAGATCATGTAACACACTCCAGCTGCTGACAGCGGTTTGCTCTGGTTGAGCTAGTGTAGAAATAACTCAAAGAAACGGAAGTAGAGATTTCTCACTACACTTCTGCACCCATCAGACAATGAAGAAGCAATATCCTAACACTTTTCTGAAAAAAGTTTTGTCTTGTTTTTCTGATTTTTACCAGAGTCTAAACCCTAAAGTAGAAAGCGTTTCCACTTGTACAGGCCCTCTGTTTCTGTCACTGAATCAGCCACATCAGGACTGCCAATAATACAAAACTGTGCACCCAACGAAAGTCAAAAAGTAATCCGTAGTCTGTAAAGAAGACCTGCTGTCAAAGAAGAAACTCGTAGCACCTCTGTCAATGAACATGCATGTGGAAAACTTTCAAGGACTCACACACAGAGGGTAGTCCCTGAAGGACTTGGTATTTTTTGACTCAGGAGCCTTGACCAGCTGTGGAAATAGAGCAGAAGACTGTGATTGCACAGACACAGGCACATCTGATTTTTCAGCAATTATGCTTATTATAGAGGAGTATCTATATCTGATGTCCCAATGGGACTAATTATTGACCCCTTTACCATACATAAGTGCCACCTCATTTGCAAGAAGAGGTGAGACTTGTGATCACAGACAGTGATGTACATGACTTTTTTTAACTTGCCCTACCCACCACAAGGGTAGCCACCATTCAGCTCCCTCTACAGAGAGACAGGGTTAGAGTTATTCCTCTGACATGTAACACCTACAGAAAGTGGGAGGGTGTGTTTCAAACTTAACACACCCTTTGAAGGCAGGTCTCATACACTTCCAAGTAGATCGGTATGAAAAAGCTGAGCATTCTTCCTGAGAAAGGATAGCAGCTGGATCTGGCCAGATATAAGCTGGTAAACCCAGCAGGATAAAGATTATTCCAGCCACCTCAGAAAGCAAGAAACCTTTGTTTACACATTTCCTTTAAACAATCGGAGTGGGGATTCAAACACACACAATCTCTTACTTTCTAATAAAACATTAATAATTTGACTGCAGGTTTTGGCAACCTCAGCTGTTGAAATTTTTGCTTTCTGTAAAACACTTGCATGGTAATGGCAGCACAGGACACAAAAGAACAGACTAAAAGATAAATCACTCTAATTAGAAAATACAACCCTTGTTCCTATGCAGACTTGTTATGTACTTTGCATCATCCATTGGAAAAAGTAAACAGTCTGGGATTTAGAGGCCAAAATTAAGGTAAGAAGCCTTACCACTAAGACCTTACCCCCTCAGTTTCCCTCCTTTCTCCCAACTCCAGCTTTTTTTTTTTCTTTTCTGGCCTTCCCGTGCCTCACACAAAACTGCCTTGGGAAGGGAGAAGGGGCCAGTACAGCAAGGAAAGGGCGGCTTTGTTGCCATCTGCTTTCAAGAGAATCAGAGTACAGGCCAGGCCCAGGTCTGCTGTGAGGCTTTCAGAGGCCACGATGTATCCATCAGACAGGCCTGGGAGACAGATGGGGTGCTGTGCAGCAAGTGTCGGAGCAGCTGGCTTGTCTCTACCAAGCATAGGTTGTCGCTGGATACAAACCTAGGCTGGAATTTAAAATGTTCCCATCAGGGCTGGACTAATTTCACCTGACTTCATTTTAAAACAGCTGTCTGGGCTTCCCACTCTACTGAACAACAGCAGTAGGCATCTCCAAAAGGCAATTCAACCCAACCTACAATACTGCAATTTACTTCACTGAATACAGAGAGGGCTTACATGTTTAGTAACACCACAGAATGGCATTTATTTCATAACAGCTCCCAGCTGTTATTCTCGCCAGATGTGAAAGACCAAGACAGAAGAAGAATTTCAAGTTGCCTCTCCAAAACTCCAGCAGAGTGCTTAACACCACTACAGTCTAAATAACTCCTACTATTATCTGCCAAACATGAGTGAGCTGGTCAGGTACCTGCCAAGAAAGTCCTGCAAGTAAACCAGGCAGATGAACAACATGTAAATCTGACTAGGGTGCAGGCACAAACTCAAGACCACATTTGTTTTCTCGGCTCAGCAACAAAATACTGAGAGGCTTTAATCCAAATTCCTTGAGGGGCTTTACTGGACTAAGAAGGAAAGTAGAGATCCCAAAGAAACATCTGGGTTCAAGCTGAAACTGTCTCAGTTTCAGATTTAAATGCTTCACACACCAACCACACATATAAGATCTTCCGCAGACCCAGCCCTCAGCACATCCTAGAATCAATGACATGTGCATATTTTGTGTATTTAATGGAGTATTTGTCTACTGTTGGGATGTACATAAAAGAGGAAATTAAGCTTTAAAACCACTGTAATCATGAAAATAATCCCTATAAATGTTATTGGCACTCCACGTATGACACAATGTCCTTTTTATATCTAGTTATGAGTTCTGATACACAGTCCAGCACAAAGACTGTAATCAATCTTACTGTTCACAGGTCTTTACTATCAGCAGCTTTTAATTTCAATGAACTTTAGTTTACAAACATAAAGAATTCAGAATCAGATCAGATGCAACTGTTCTACATCAGCATCACAAATTTACCTGCATACTTGTACTTGATCCGTGGCTATGTTGCTCTCCACAAACTCATGAACAACACTGATCCCCACAATTCTTGTTTGTTTTGAATACATCTGGAGAGAAGTAGCAGCACAACACAGAGAACATTTATCTTGTAAAAAACACAGAGTACCTTTTAAAAAAACCTGAATCATTACTAGTCCTGTTTGGACATTGTGTAGATAGCAGTCTGTAATAACTGGAAAAGACAGAAAAAAATTTGTACCAGTCAAGATATAGATGGGAATTAAATAACCTAAGCACGAAAATTTCAGTAAAACACCACAGCTGTACTTACATGAAGAAAACAAATGCAAGATTATAAACTGTTCTGTGTGTCTGTCAAAACAGAAGAAAGCCACAAGACTCTTGGGCTTTTTTCCAAAACATGTCCACTAACGAAACTCTCATTAGGCAGTACAAAGCTTGCAACATTGCTTGCTTCCCTTTGCAGTGTACGTAAGTAAATAGGCACTTGCACAGCCTCAAAACTCATAAAACAAATGCATGGTAGCCATAATGCTAAGGTAAGAAAACATAAATAGTTGGTGATCTATTTTCTGGCAGTACAGCAGCAGTCTGAAAAGAAATGCAATACTGAAGGGCCGTAACTTGGCCATAAGAACAAAAGCCAGGTTGTTCTCTCAGGTTGTGTTCCACTTAACAAGCGCTCTATGCAGATTTTTCTTCCAGTCAGGAAATAAAAAAGTATTTTTTGTTTGACAGGCAGGTAAGCCTATTATTTCCTTTCATAACACCCTTGTTTAGGAGCCTTCTGTACACACAAAATGAAGGATTAAGCACACAGTCTCTGCTCAGTCCTGCAACATGCTTCCTATAGAAGTTGTCAGGCAACTAGAGAACCATCATCAACCATTGTTAGCATATGGTTAGGAAACACTCTGGTTAAGAAGATACTTAAAAAACTGTTTTGGATAAGCCACCAATATCCAAGGCATCACCTAGCTTGTTTAAGACAAAGGCCCACAACAGGCAGTGTCAGTAACAGCTGACAGGCTGTGGCAATAAAAATACTGATAATCATGTTACACTGCCTTCTGCAGAGTTTATGGTGATAGATCAACACCTGGGAGAGTGAATTCTTGCAGGTATGACAGCTGCCTTCTGTGTACAGTAAACATATACATATTTAAAGCTCCCTTTGCTTTCCACAGCAACTTCCATAGATCATTTTGCTCACATATTTACCACATAAGATTGTTCCTCACACAGCTCAAATCCTAGCTGTAACACGAGCTTATTAGCAAAACAACATGCAAAGCTCTGGTTTTTATGGATCTTTAACTTTTGGCACTTTGAATTTACCTTCACACCGTGTGATTAGCCCTGCAGATGAAGTATTACAGCTTCCATACATACTCAGCAGATCATCCTGATCAAAAAGTTCTGTAATCTTATGGACTCTTCTATATAATTTTTTCTTCCCATTTCACCATCTCTTATTTAGTTTTAAAGTAAATAATTTCTATTCCAGGGTTCTTCTGGTCTGAGAGTTCTACAGCAACTTAAAAAGAGGATTTTTATAACACCTCTCAGGAGGAATGCACCAATAACAGAGATAACTGTTAAAGCTCTTCTAAGTATCTCCACAAACACTGCAAAGGAACTGTACAACTGGGACCCTGAGGGGATGGTTCCTGCTCTTGGTTCCTCACACACTGTCTCTTTAACAAACTGGCCAGATTTACAGCTGCTGGTCATAAATTTAACTACACCTCTTGTTTAGTAGAGGGAAAACAACCATCTGAAAGAAGTATAAGAACTGTATTCAGCACATTCCTATCCAATATCCTATCCATCCTATTTGGCTAAGAGACAAACTGAGCCTTTCATTATAAATTGCCTGCCCAGTATGTGGCCTACATCCCCAATTTCTCTGCACCCCACCAGGGGTCACTTACACCACATTACTGACGTTCCTCAGCAGGGCAGGCAACTGTTTGTCTACTATAATAATTCAAAATATTTATACACTGCACAGCCACTCTTTCACGTGCACACATATACTTACTGGTATACTGATGAACCACATCTAAAACATTTTGCAAAGACGGACACATTGTGGGGTTTCCTAGCATGAAAAAAAAATATAAATCTGTAGACTTCTAAAAGACAGACAATTGGAGGGCCTGTGAAAAAACACGTGTTCCCTTTAAGTTTAAGCTCTCTCCAAAGACCATTCACTAGCTTCAAAATATCCCACATGTTTGGCATTAAGTAAAGCTCTCTTGGAAAAACCCACAAGTTAATTCAATTTAAAAAAATGTGTTAAACCAAGCAGTACTTAGAGGGAGCACTGAGTATTTTATGTGTAATACACAGTTACTCAGATACACACTTAAATATTTAATATGTAAAAAATAAAGTGCTCTCTATCATGTCCCAGTGCAGGGACATTATAAAACATTTCAACAACTGTAAAACAAATAGATACAAAGAACACTGCATCAAACATACATGAAAACAGTTAACACAATATGTACAATCTGGTGGATGTCCCAAGACAAAACATCCCTTCATATACATGGTATATACATATATACTCCTCTTTACTCAATATATTATGACAATATATATTTCAAAGCTTTGTTTACAGACCAAAAAAAAAAACAACCTACAAAAACACAACAAGGATCAAGCACACAAGTCCAAGACAGACAAAGAATTTGCTATCCCTGCCCACAGCACCACCTCTGCTCCTGGGAAAGATATGCCAGTGCTCTTTTTTGGGGTGTAGTGCCTCCACATCCTGCAAGGCACTGTGAGCAGCAGCCGTGAAGTTGGCATCACCTGTGGTGAGCAGGTCAAATACACATGAGTAAAAGTAGATGTCCTTCACCAGCATCTTCTCATGGCATTTGGTGGTGGCGGTTTCCAGCGTGTACACCGATCGGGGATGGGCAGTGCTGCCCCGAGGAAGCAATTTGCTTATCACAGGCAACGGCAAGTGACCGCTGTCATCGATGCGTTCGCTGGAGGGGCAGCCGTTGACACAGAGCTGCAGGTCCTGGCTCTCCTCGTAGGCCATGACCAGCTCCTGAGGCATTTGGATGGCCAGGGTCAGGTAGTGCCCGAGCTGCCGCACGTACACTGTGGTTCCGATGTGCCGGGCGTGCATCTCGATGTACTTCCCGCTGACCTTCTCCACGATGTGCAAGCTCCTGGTGTTCCCGTCACCTCCACTTGTCGTACCATCCACAAAAGCTGCAGGCAAGTCATCAGTCACTGCTTGATACACTTTCTGTTCTGTACAGTCTTGGTATGATTTAAAGATAATAGTTATCTGGAGGGGAAAGGGGGCAAAAAGAGCAACGTTAGTGGAAAAAAAATCATTATCTCAATCTCTTTTCTATTTTGCAGTTGAATTTGTCTGGGACTGACCACTACCACAGAGCCTGGTAGTTGTCCACAACTCAAGCCTTAAGGTAAACAGACGGTCCACATGCTTAAAGTAGTATTTTACCAATTGTTAGATTTGTTCTTAGGTTGTCCTGGAAGAAGGACTATTAGCAACAACTGTGACGTCAGGAAAGGAAAAGGCTTTCTATTTAATTAGGCATCACAATTCCCTTCTGCCTGACAGTTCCTGATTGCTCTGGAACGGCTCCTGCAATGACAGAGAAGTGCCAAGTCATTTCCACAATGCTGGCCACTACGACAAAACCAGAATGAGACTGTGCCAAATCATGGAAAGGTACAATCACAACCAGGAAGGGAAGAACAACTAGTCAAACAATTGCTTTGGGCTCCAGGATCCATTTGTCCTAGGAACTGGGAGATTTGACACTTCCAGTCCTCTGTTGGTAGAAAATATGCCCATGAAGAAACAAAGCAAGACTGAAAGATACCCAAAGACAGACCTTTGAAGAGTGGCTTCCAACACGGAAACCAGGAACATAAAGCAATTACTCGTTCTTTTAAGGTTAGAACTAGCCTTTTAAACCTTTACAATTATTGGAGTAAGTCACAACTGAAAAAGCAGGTCTTCCAGTCTTACTTGAAGGTAGTAACTAGGCTATGTGTCAGACCTAGTCTAGTGGCTTTTCCCAAAATAAAAAGTATAATGAGGAATCACATAAAAAATATTAGAAACAGATAAAGCTACTTTTTTTAGAGTTTCTGAGGGGAGAAACTTCTGGAAAAGGTCAAAAGAAATTCTGCACCAGCAACACTATTTTATTTTCAGCATTGACTGATTACATCAAATTACTTATAATCTGTGATTTAAACCGTCTGCTAAGACACTCAGATTACCCCAAAACACATCAGAATGTATTTTAAAATTAATGTTACACTTTTTGCTTAAAATCTGCTTTAAAGAAACCTCACATTCTTGTATCAGTTAATGAGCACACTTCTGCACAACAGCTTTTGTGTCCTGCCCCTCTGTTTTGAAGTATGAGGTAGAGGTTAAAAAAGAGTCAACAGACAATTCAGATAAAACCTGTACCCTCATTAGTTTCACCTCTCCATATCACTTGTATAAAACAAAGGTCTATCTCTCTCCTCCCATTACAACGGTTTCTCCTGTGGATTGTGCAGACTTCTTACCACAATAAGAGTATTAATTTATTTTCAATGTTTGGCTTGTCCCAGTTGGCTGATGTTTTGTCTTTCTGTCTCTCAACACAGATGATACTTCCTATTTTGCTTTTGTATGTTCCCACATGTGATGATTTTATTTTTCCAACGTTTTTTCCTTGTGTCAATCAGTTGAACAGCTTGAGTTGTATCAGCTACAAAGCTTGAGACCACCTGTAGTCAAGCCATTTGGTAAACTGATGTCTGTGGACCACAGCTAAGCTGTGGAACGCCTACATCCAAAATTCAGAATATGTCCAAGCACCCCCACTGCTGTAAAGACAACCTCACAACTCTGTGCTTAGTAAAGTAAGCTCAGCAACCCAGAGAAGAGAAACCTGAGACCTCTCATGGAAGTAGTATTTCTGCATATAATCCAGACCCTCATGCAGTAAATCAGGTCTTTTATTTTGTATAACACAGTTTTGATGAAGCAGACTTCTATCTCTGCCTGCTCAGACAAAGAAGCACTCCTCTTTTTCCTCACGCACATTTGCATTGCTCTGCAAGGAGAGAATGATTTACACATTTACAGAAGTAAAGCTCTGTCTGCTCAGTACCTGAATAGGCCTGGAGTTAAAAAGAGTTAATTGTTTTAATGAGACACAGAACTGGCTGCTGGATAAAAACATTTAAGCAAGGCATCTGGCAAAATTTATCAGCAAGCAGCCACTAAACTGTTCTCTCCAACCCCCCTGTTCTGCAACAATGAAACGCACACAATTTCAGATACATGAGGGAGAAGAGAAGCCACCACCCTAACTCAAGATTAGCAATAACATTACATTATAATATATAACATTAATAAAAACCTCCATGTAGGCTGCAAGGACACTCCAAATAGAGAATCAAGAGACCATTAAGACTTTCCAAGGACATACTCAAATTTAAATACTGCAGCTCAAGACATTAGTTTTGAATATTGTTTGAATATTGTGTTGTATGTCACATGACATCCATCTAATCCACAGGCTAGATCAGTAAAACCAGAATTCTGCATGGTCTTTCCCTTATCACACACTCTTACCTCAATATCATGCCCTGGTATTAAGAGATACTCCAGAGTTTGTTGCAAAGAGAGATAAAGCAGATCTCCTTACAAAGCTTTATCTGCTTAACTTCTCAAGGTAACAGAAAGCACTGGAAGTGAAAAAGTGATTTCAAACAAATTTAACATGTATTATATGTGTCTGTGCACCTACAGCACTTTTTACACTATGGCTGGTTGCAAGAACACCTCCACAAAGCTGCTTATGGTTCACAGACTAGAGACTAGCTGCTCTTTCTAAACCTAGGACCAAAAGATCCAAATATCAGATGAAGAAAGATTTTTGAAAGTACTGTTCTCTGGTCACATACAGAGCTCTTCTGCAGTGAGGAACCCTGAAAGATGAATATAAACGTTTCCAGAGACTTACCTGAAGATACAGTAAACAAACATCACCTATAGTAAGAGTACTAAACGAATAAAAACCCCGCACGTCCCATTTGCACATTTTGTTTTGGACTTCATCCTCCCACTGCTACTGATACCAGTACTGAGGACTGCACTGATCACAAAGATCTCCTAAATTCCACTGCACAGGCAAGGCCTTTCAAACATGGTGTTACTGAGCTGTCAAACTGCAGTTTCTAGATGACCTTAAGGTATATGTAGAAGGTGCCTGGCTTGTGTGCTTTAAACAAAACCAAGACTTTCAACTCTGATTTCTTGTACTAGTCTTTCCTACTGCTAAAAAAGCAATCACAGTGCTGTAGGTACCCCTATATGTTGCTATTTTACTATGCATTTAATAGAATCCTAGAATCATTCAGGTTGAAACAGACCTTTAAGATCATGGACTCCAACCATTAACGTAGCATTGCCAAGCTTGGGGAAGACAGAGTGGAAAAGGACCTAGAGGCGCTGGTTGACAGCTGTCTGTACATGAGCTGGTATGTGCCCAGGTAGCCAAGAAGGCCAAGGGCATCCTGGCTTGGATCAGCAGTAGTGAGGGAGCAGGACCACAGCAGTGACTGCTCCCCTGTACTGGACAGCAGTGAGGCCACAGCTCAAGCACTGTGTTCAGTTTCAGGCCCCTCAAGTGCAGAAAGACATTGAGGTGCGGGAGCGTGTCCAGAGAAGGGCAACAGAGCTAGGGAAGGGTCTGAGCACAAGTTCTACAAGGAATGTCTGAGGGAGCTGGGGTTGCTCAGCCTGGAGAAAGGGAGGCTCAGGGGACACCTTATCACTCTCAACCTGAAGGGAGGTTGTAGACACGGGGGAAATCGTGCTCAAGTAGCAAGTGACACGGTAAGAGAAAATGGCCACAAGCTGCGCCAGAGAGGTTCAGATTAGGGAAAATATCTACACTGAAAGAGCTGTCAAGCATTGAAACAGGCTGCCCAGCCTCTTGAGTCATCATCCCCAAAAATGTTTAAAAGCCATATGGCACTCAAGAAACAAGTTTAGAGGTGGAATTCACAGTGTTAGGTTCGTGACTGGACTCAATGGTCTTAAAGGTCTTTTCCAACCTACATGATTCTACGATATTCTCCAACAAAACTGCAGTATGTACTATTTCTGAGAAAGACAAATTCATCTCCACCTTAGGCAAGATGTCTACAAAGATGAAAAGAATAATGACACATAACCAGACATCTGATGCTCCTACTTAGAAAAACAACTGAAAGGTAACTGGAAGATAAACATTTTAATATTACTTACAGGAGACCAAGTACACTGTGATCACTCTGTAATGATTTCCTGAAAAAACAGAAACCATGCTGCAAAAGGAGATACTTGAAGTGTTTTGGCTCTAGGAAAATGAACATTTATATCCAGTGTTACCTTCTGCTGCTAATAGTACCAATTCCCAGATTCCAAGGTTTATACCCAATATATTCATTACAGTAAAAAGCTCTGTGGTTTTTTCTTTCTCTGTGTCCTTACATTCACTCTCTCACCCTCAAGCTATCTACTACAAAACACCTGGGTAGGAAAACCTCTGTTGCCAATTAATGCAAACAAGAAGCAAAGTTTTCCATTGGCAAGCCCAAGCTTCTGTCTCATTTGCTATTCAAGGACAACTACTCCAGAGATATCTAGAACACCTGTCATAGAGATGAAAGGCAATACAGATTTCATACTCCTCCAAATAAAGCACACAATTTAAAAAAGCCCAACCTTTTATTTAATGCATTCTACAATACCCTTCCTACTTACTCCCTCTACAGTCCCTTGTAACAGACATTTATCCTCAGGAAATTGCAAAACCACTTCCAAGACAGGGGAGTTCTTTATCTATAGCTGGAGAAATCACACATAAAAGATGCCAGTGACCTACTCAAAACCCACACAAGAAGTCTGTCAGAAAGAAAAAGAAAAGAGGAGCTTTAACTCAGTTTCCCAGCTCCTTGGTGATGATCCTTCTCCATCTGAAAAACCGGAGGATCCTATGCCAAGGGGCATAAGAACATCAGGCAAGCTCAAAAAAACTGGAGTTTCAAGTTTCAGCTCGACCACAGAATATAAAATAGCTTTTGTTCACGGTGGAAAAACAGATGTTTTTCGGGCAACACAAATATGCAAAACACCTACAAACAAATTGCCAAGAGCATTTTGAGAATAAATACACAACTCTCACACAATGTGCCCTTCCAAATCCTGCTTTTCATACTTTCATGCCAGATGCACGCTGGGGGGTGGGGGAGAAACAACATACATTTACTCTTCATGTTCTTACTTGAGGTGTCCTCCTACCTTCTCTTGTCCTTTAAGAAATTAATGGGCAGCCCTTATGCTACTGGGGTTACTCAAGCCTCACAGGTTAGTACCCCAGACAGCTCAGACAAATCCGAAATTTCCTACAAGGGCAACGGACAGTTCGCACCTTTCAGAAGCACACTACATATGGGGTGAAGATTAAATACTATGTTTCTACAGCTTCATAAGTCACTTACCCTAAGAAAAATGCATACAGGAAAAACTAAATCTTCTACTCTTATTTCCCTTCCTTTCATTAGGTGTGTTTTAGAGGGGGCTAATTAGGTTAATATTTGCTTTGGCTTCTGCATGATTTAAGTTCAGCATATACCCTTGTTTTTATTCCCTATTAAACTTCTGTTTCAAATACTGCAATGAAAAAACAGCCAGACTAACAATGGATAATGTTCTGGAAACTTTTCTTGTGAAGGCAGAAGACCTCTTTGGATGCTCTTGGCTAGGGATTACACTACGCAGATAAATGTCGCTGACCTGTACCTCTTTAAAGTCCTTTAAGCTACCCTGTGGCCAAAATTAGTTAAGTACACCCAGCAGCAGATAGTGCACTACAGTAAAAATGGAATTCTTGCAGAGAAAAATGTTACAGGAATGAAATTAGCAGTGGCAGCACAGTTAAACAAGCGTTTTGTACTTCATTTATAGCAGCCTGTTCCATAAAGAAACAAAAGAAGTAGAAGGATGTGTTAGAGATACAAAAACTTATCTTGCTAAGTTATTTGTACATTCAAATAACCTCCACTGCCTACAGACACGTGTGGTAACTTCTATTACCTGCCAAAAAAAAGCAATTCAACGACTGTAAAACTTGTAACATATACTACCGTTAAATATATTTCTAATATCCTAAGCCATATGTCTTATTTAATTGCTTCTTCATACTTAGACATACTTTTGTAATGACAGGGATGATAAAACACTACTACTAAAGAGAGATGTATTGCCGTTTTGCCCAGAATGACAAGTCAAAGAAAAACACCAAAAAAAGGGCAATAAGTAAAGACAGCAGGCATGCCTTTTAAAAACATATTTTCCCTCAGTATGTACAAACATTTATCTCCTTGGGTCCTCCTCTTGATTGTCTGTTGGAGAAAACATATACCAGCATAACATGCTCCATAGTCAATAATTTTCAGGATGTGGCTTAAGTTAAGATCACCTATCTACAACCATCACAGTCACACAATTTGTTCACAAGAGTCTCAGCTTTTTCCTCTACTATTACAAGGAACAAGGAAATAAAGAAAATTCTACAAGAGTATAGCAGAACTGAGGATAAAAGCTTACTGCAGATTATGAAAGGCAGCTTTTTCTTACACTTTAGGAGTCTTGAAAAAAAAGCCACTAAAGCAGACTGCAAGGGACATCTCTTCTGCAAAGCTTACTCAGGTCAGCTTCATTGCCTTATTTTATACACCTTCAGAACTCATTCACAATGCAGACTGTTCCTGGAACAGGCACAAGTTAATCTGAGTTTCAGTCCAACCCCTGCTCACTCACACACACAATGACATTAGTCAGTACCTCAGGATCCAGCACAAATTTAATAGCAAAGCTGATTTTCCCTTAATTCTCCTGCACAGCCAACTCCATGGAAGATATGTAGGCTCTAACTTACTGTGACCAGTAGCTCCTGCTTCCAAACCCTGTAATAAAAAAGCCTACTTCCAAGCTTACTAAAATGATGAAAATTCTCCAATATCGATAGTACTGAAATGATGTTCACACAGCCTGACCTTCACAAGACAAGAGCTACACTACTACAGTTTGAAAAAAGGCCATTTCACTCCAGAAAGTGAACGAGCTTTGTGACAACATCAGCTTCAGATGTACACTTAAGTAACTTTTATTGACGGAGCCATTTGCTGCCTGCATTCAGCAGGAAGAGACAAGTATTTTTCTTAAGTTAAGGAAATGACATAAGTTATCAATACTAGTGCATTTATTCCTCAAGTTCCTGAGAGGAGAGCAATCTTAAGTCTTGCCTGTCTCAGCAGGGGCTTAATACGCTCAGCAGAATTTTAAGGGCGCTGCTTCAAGTACTAAGACCTTCTGACAACCATTTAGCTTCCATGTAATTTTTTTGCTTCTTTTAATTCTCTGCAGTTACCTCCTTGTTTCTGCTCTGAACCACCTGTTTTTTTAATTTTCTACTGTTATAGCCCTACAGTTTAGAGAGTTAATGAAAAGCAGGGACTTATACTCCTTCCTTCTTTAAGGTTTCTTCCAATCCAAAGCATTCTATGATTTTTTAAATTTCTACTTAATGCAGAGGCAGTCACACATGCACAATAATCTGATAACTGTTCTGAAGTGTTGTATCTACTGTCCTTACAGGCTTATGGGGAGATAAGCACAAGTTTTCTTGCCATAGGCAGAAGCAGAGGGAAGGAAAGAATCTGTTTTAAGTTTTGTTTGATGCTCAGAAATGAAGAGGGTAAGAGGTTTACTTTATTGTACTACTGTATAGAAGATTCTCAAGCTGTTACAATTCTTTAACCATTAAGGGCTAAATGACTTACTTTGCTGTCTTGGCCTTTTACTGCTCCATGCATGCACAGAGCTTAAAATAAATCTGTACCTTATTTGTAGCAGTAGCGCTGGATCCCTGGACCACAGGCACGTTGGTCACTTGCACTGACAAGTAGTTATTGTCTATGAGGGGCCAAGCACCTTCCACTTTGCATGTCTGGAAGTGATCCTTAAATGTCCTGAGATGAGGATCACCAAACAAGCCACAAAATAGATAAGTAGGAGCAGGAGTCTTCTCCCCTCCCTGATGTTCTCTGGCTTCTGTGTGGCCACTGTAATTGCAAGGATCATGGGTCACTTCAGGGTTGGTGGAGGACGTTGGTCCATCTTTGGTACAGTTCCTCTGGGCCATGAGGTCGCCGATCCCAAGCACTGCAGAATGGTAGACCAGGTTTCCACGGCATACTTTGGAATTGCGATAGGTGCACGCAGAGTATGCACGCAGGGCCTTGCAGAACTCCAGATCAAAGTCCTCAAGAGCTGCGTTTAGATGGGAAGTGAAGGACACAAAATCAGTGGTGCACTTCTGGATTCCACAAGGTGTGTGCAGCTGGCAGTCACCTAAGCACAAAAAGAGATGGTAGAGAGAAATCAAGCAAACCTCCTGGGTGGCAATACTCCATTCCACACCCAAAGGTGATGTAGAAAACAACCCAAAGGAAACTTACAGTGCTCACCCATTAGGGAAGCACTACATAACAGAGAAAAAGGTGTTGTGAGACAGAAGGATAGAGAATAGAGAGTATCTCAGAGGATGACAGGACCCATGCATGTCTTAATCCAACACCTGATACTGTCTAGATGAAAATAAAGAGCACTAGGTCCTGTCAAGTGTAAGCCAAACATTTCAGATATCAAGGTGATGATGCAATTCTGTGCTTAAGTTAATCACTTAGTGAGAAAGTCTCTATTTAGTCATTCAGTGCTTTACACAAGTTACAGAATGCTGCTCCTCAGAAGAATGCGGTAAAGGCAGCAAAGCAATATATGTTCAAGCAAAAACAGAATGAATGAAGCAGAAATCAGAGTTTCTCTTCTAGAAAGCACAGCAGAGGGGAGGAAACTGTGAAACTGAGCAGGCAGTTTGCTTTATTTCCCTGGCACTGTCAGAGCTAAAGCTTCATGGCTCATTTTTTGGAGGCTAATAAGTGAAAAAAAACCACAGCTGTCTAGTGTGCAAGTTTCGAGCTAAGACATCTGAACACTGCAGTAGCAGCCTCTCTTACACCGTAATTCAGTAAGACCGGGGCAAAGAAACCCTTTAGCCACGAAAGCCTGAAGTACTTATCAGATGTACGCAACAGGTACGCAGTTCACTTTACACGAACAAACCAGTTAGGCCTTATCTGATCACCTGATTTCCACAAAAGAGCACAATTAAAATCCCAGCAAGCAAACTGAAGTTGAACAGTCCTCTCCTCCACAGTTCTCACAGTAATGATCTGAAATCCTTCCAGATTCACATGGCACACAGCAATGGTCTTCTGCTGGTGACTTTTACCCAAGAACTTACCAGGAACAGAAACAAAATGAACGGGACTGCACACACACTAAGGGAAACGGAGCCACAGAGTTCCAGGAGAAACTCTAAAACCAGGAGGACCCTAGTCTAGGATTCTAGTCTAGCATTCTCTCCCATCCAAAGACCCTTCATAAAGAATATGTGCAACTTCATGCAACAGCTCTCCAGGTATGCAAAACTATCTACTAAAAACATGATGCATTGTTACTTTTATGACCTATAAAACTCAACTGTGGAAATATTAATCTGTAATTTCAAACTGCCATAAAACAGATTCTGAACACCACAAAAATGCCTACAAAGATAAACGGAAGTGTTGAGGAAAAAAAAGGGAAAATACAATATGCAATATATTTAACAGAAACTCCTGAGACACGAGAAGCGAAAAACGGACTGCAGATCAATGTAGCACTTTCATTTTTAAACAGTTGTCTTCTGCAATTCACACAGCAATGAGGGGATATTAACAATTTCTTTGCTTGCCCCTTAGCTGACCCTCCTGAGTCAGTACTCACATGACTTACTCTGAATATCCAAACCATGAATTTATAACGGCAATATGTTTTCCCAGTGATGCACAGCTAACATAAATCTCCTGTCAAAATCCCAGGACAATACAGAGTAGAATGAGGCACTCTATAACTATAGCTAAGTGCGATCATGAATTGTGTAAGCAGAAAGTTTTTCTCTATCTTTGTGCATCATTGTGCAACTGTAGAGTTGTACGTACCTTTACAAAAAACCAGAAAAAACCTACACAAAATCCGACCAAATTCTGTGTTTTCTGATATACAAACAAAAAAACCCTGTGGCAGGCAAAATAACACAGGTAATGGTGGGTTCAGAGACTGACTTTCAAAGCATCACTTTATTTCCCTCAGTTGTATTCGTGATATTGTTTTGATCATATATAAATCATGCTAGCTGAGCAAGTCAGTAAACAGCCGAATAAATCGGAGATTCACAGAACTGTTAAGGCTGGAAGGGACCTCTAGAGATGCTCCAGTCCAAGCCCCCTGCCAAGGCAGGGTCACCTAACCCAGGTGACACAGGAACGTGTCCATGTGGGTTTGTAATGCCTCCAGAGTCCGAGACTTCCCTGGGCAGCCTGTCCCAGGGCTCTGCCACCCTCAGTGTAAAGAAGGTCTTCCTTATGTTGAGATGGAACTTCTTGTGTTTTAGTTCATAGCTACTGCTCGCTGGGCACCACCGAGAAGCCTCTGGCACCATCCTCTCGGCACCCGCCTTGGAGATATTTTATGTGCACTAACGAGATTTCCTCTCAGCTGGACAAGCAGCTGTGTAAACAGGCCCAGCTCCCGCGCCCCTCCTCAGGAGCGGCTCTACCTGATAGAAAGGGGCTCCGGCCGCGCTCCCGGCCCCGCCCGCGCCGCTCCCGCTCCCGGCCGCGCTCCCGCCCCAGCGCCGCCCGCCCCCCGCGGTACCTGCGTCCGGCGGCAGCAGCAGCAGCAGCCCCAGCAGCGGCCAGAGGCTCAGCCGCGGCTCAGCCCCGGCAGCAGGACGGGGCCGCGGCATGAGGCAGCGGCGGCGCGGGCGGGCGACGTCCTCCTCGGTGCTTGTCCTTCCCCTCCTCCCCCGCCCTCTCCGCTCCTGCTCCCGCTCCCGCTCCTCCTCCCGCTCCGCGGGGCGGCCCCGTCACAGCCGGGCCGGGGCTGGGCGCCTACAAAGGGCCGGGCCCGCTGCGTCACCGCGGCCCCAGAACGCTGCGGCCCCGCCCCGCCCGCCGGACCGCCTCCCATTGGCCTGCCTTGCTGTCCGTCAAGGCTGTCCCCCACTCCCGGCGCCCTCCCGTGGCCTTGCCCCGCCCACCTCGTGCGTCACCGCGTCCGCGCGCGCGCGCGCGCTCCCGCACCACGCTCAACGGGCCCCGAGTGGCGGGAGAGGCCGCGCGCGACCACCAGGGGGCGCTGCCGGGATAGAGCCTGGAACACCACTGGGAACAGCGCCGGGACGGGCTGGGAACACCGCCGGGACGGGCTGGGAACACCGCCGGGACGGGCTGGGAACACGGCCGGGACGGGGCTGGGAACAGCGCCGGGATGGGCTGGGAACACGGCCGGGACGGGGCTGGGAACAGCGCCGGGATGGGCTGGGAGTACGGCCGGGACAGGGTAGGGACCCCGCGGCTGGAGCAGCGCAGGTGTCCACGCCAGGCAGGGGTGGGACCGACTCGATCTGCTGCAGACGGAGCTGTCCCGGCACAAGCCACGTCCGCGGATTTTTCTTGGAAGCCAGAGGGTTCTCAGCGCCTACTCGTGTCCATCAAGGCTCACAGAACACCCGCAGCAGAACCGGGACAAACAGCGGAGTTTCACGGCCGTGTTGGTACAAGAAGCGCTGCTGGATTTTGAAGTAGCTGTGTTTTCTTTTCAGAAGGCAGGTGGGATGCCTGAGCCGGGAGCTGCTCCGCTCTGGACAGCATCTCTAATTCCACCGCCGACGGCTCTTCCCGCCCGACCTGAGCACCGCCGGTTTACTTTAAGGCGGATATCAGCCCTACGCAAAGGCAGAATTTTGTTTGGGCTTGTGTGTGTGTGTGTGTATGACAACTTGATACGGGAGAAGACTTTGACAACTTCTACAACAAGTCTAAATGAAGAGTAAAAGTAACTTTGTTTGATATAGGCATGGTGTACTTTGATAGATTTTTTTAAAGGAGAAAAAGCACTAGAAAATATACTTTATGTTATGGGAATTACACAGAACTCTGTCAGAGAGTTCAAATACATGAATGTTATCTTTACTGTGTTATATCAATTTAGCAATTTCCTAACCCCATCTTCATACATGTGTATGCTTGAGAGTTTACCTAATTTATATGTGCTCATCACAATTTTCTTTTACATATAGCAGACCTCGATGTAAGACATTGATCATAATATGCAAAAGTAAATTCCTATTTAAAGGTAAAGACCTACAAAGTTGTGGAAAAAAGTCATGATCACTAGAAGAAGAAATGATGCAAGTATCCAAGCTGTTTTTGGTAGTATCTGAGTATTTTTTTTTCTATTTACATATTGAATCATAGTAACAAAAAGCCTAAATTTAAACAGTTTTATTTTACGTTCAGCATGTGGATATGCATTAGAAAACATCACTTTAGATACTTATGGAGTACCACACAGTACTTCCTGCACCACCCTGTGCTTCTATACCAGGTTTAAGTAGCGGAGGCATCATAGAAATAAAGCAGGCCTTATAAAGACCACCTTTCATCTACCTCCAGCAACTTCTGCCTGTGACAATATACTGTTTTGTGGATTTCATGGATCCATAAAAAAGACTTCTCACCATGACCTGCTCTGTTTTTTAAAAAGGTTTTGCATAGACACTCGTACCTTGGCAGATAAAAGTTAACCTAGAGTAGGTTACTTACTCCTAAAATATGTTTTTTTCCCCTCCCCGAAAAGTAGCAAATCAATACCTGACTGTAAGGAAGAAGGACGATCAGAACTTTATAACTTGGTTCTCCATACAAAATATGCTGTATGGAGTTTAATTCAGTTTTCCTGTTACAATAAAAACACACAAAACTTCTGCCAAAGATGGAGTGAGGAAATGCCATATGCTGTTGAATCTGGTATATTCAGTGTGTCTTCTGATATGGTCTTGTCAACCAACACCATTTGAAAAAAGCAACCTACAATCCAAGTAACGAAACAAACCCCTTTCTGTTCTGTCTCCTCCTCATTGGCACCCTTCCTAATTGACACCCTTCCCTCCAAACAAACACATTAATTTTCTTGACTTCATGTAAGATCTGTGGGCTGAGATTGAAGAGAGAGGTATTACTGTCATCCTGTGTAAGAACATCCCCTTGAGAAAATGAGGCTGTCTGTTCTGCTTATAGAAATTCATGTTCTTGATAAAGCAAGAAGTTTATTTTTTGGTTTTTCACCTTATAAATTAGATTTTAACATCTTAAAATAGAGAATCATCTCTTCCTAAGAGACTACTCTCCAGATTTCTTGATTTCAAGAATGGAAAAGAGTTCACTGGAAGATAAACTCTTGATACGACGTTTTGTTTTGTTTTAAAAACAATGCTTTTCATAAAATTATTACTTTAACAGTTGTGAGTGTAAGAGTTATGTTGTGTTTCTGTGTGCAAGACTGGGTGTAGTAAACAGAAAACACTTGTACCAGTATGCCTCATTTTATTGGATGTGTCTCATTCATGATGTGCCTGCTTTAAGTCTTACTTTACTATTTGTTTTCAGCTGTTTCAGTTGTTTAATGGGATTGTTTAATTAACAGAGGAAAGCTAACAAAAGTACTGAAATACAGTTCCTCAGGAATATAAGGCATAACCTAAGGAGTAGAGTACAATTTATCTTTACTTCTCAAGAATGTATTTTTGATTCTCCTAATCTATTAGTCTGTGTTTTGCATGGCAAGACAGAGCTTGTAATTTAGTGTATCAATCTGTTAATCACATTAAAAATGTATAATTGAATTTACAGCAAGCTTTCCATTCTTCCAGAAAATAACGATTAAGACATTATAGGATAGCATTTGCAATGCTGAATGTGAAGTAGCCTCCATAGAAAATGTGCAGATTCCTTGTACTTATGCATTACTCTCTAGTACATCCCACTGTGCCGCATGGGTCCAGAGCTCTAGATATAGCACAGTTCAATTGGTGTGATTTAAGAACAAATCTTGGACTAGAGCATTATGTTATGTAAGACTGATTGAAAGGAGGGCATGAAAGACCAGGGAGGATGTGAAAGAAGGCATATGAATCACAGTAAAGTTACTTTTTTTTTTTTTTGTCCGACTACATGCTTGGTTTAACTATACAGTGGATATTTCTGGGCAAACTCTGCAGATGTGAATGTATACACAAATTCAAAGGCCAGGAAAATACACCACCCTGATTTTGTTTAGTTTCTATTTCCCTTTTTCATACTTGTAACTTTTTTGACTGAGATCAGTGCACTGGGATAGTCTGTTTTTGTTCAAAGTGTCTATGAAAGGTGTACCTCCTTTGAAAAATATTTATTTCAACCCCCCTAACAGGACACATTGTCATGAATATGACTTCTGCTATGAATATTACTGCTATGAATATGACTTCTAAGTGTGTGATGGGCTTGTCAGTTTACCCACAGGGATAAATATAAAGTCAGGAATCTTAATTTTAAAGTTCAATTTTTAAACAGTGTTTTAGTGTTCTTCTGTTGTGTATTTGTAACTTGCTCTTCACAGAAAAGAAATTAACAAGACAAGTGGAAGCCTTAATGATGGTATCCCCCAGGATCCAGTGAAAAGAGGGGAATCGGAGTTTGATTTCTTCAGGCAATCACTATCAGAATTTGAAAAAATAGGAGGAAATCGTAAAAATGGTAGACAATAAAATTGTTTTGATTATTGGAGAGACTGGATTGGGAAAAACTCCTTGTTTCTTTAGTGAAAAAAGATATAATTATTTTTATAAAACTAATGCCAATTTTGTAACATTTGTCATAAGCAGTTACTTTCTGTTAGTTTTAAGGCTTTTGTTTTCCTATGTGGTCAAAAATCTTGTGTTCCAATTCACTTTCTTGCTTTTGAAATTCTGACTCCCCAGAAAAGTTCAGATTCTGCAGAATTTTCTGATAGATTTACTTTTTTCATTAAAATAATATAAAACATTGAAGGGAAAGTAGCTATGATTCTTCTGTAATCCTTTTGCTTCTAAAGCTAGGTCTGCTCTTAGCATCCAGAGTAGTATATATTGTATTAAAATGAAAGATTATCTTCCTGGCTTTTTCTTACAGATTTCCCTGAGGCAGGGGACAGATGCTTCAACTTTTTTTTTTTTTGTTAAAAACACATCGTACTTGAAATCTCTTTTTAAAGAAAAAGAAAATTAAAGAAATTTATTTAAATTAAATAAATTTATTTTTTGCTGCCTTTATGTCCCTTCGCGTTAGTTGTCAGTGATAATCCTAGTGAGAAGCCTTCTGCAATCTTTGTAATATTGAGATGCATTTAAATTGTTTCACTGTGGTAAAAAAGCTATCACTGTCTCAAACTAAAAAGTGAATTTGAACCACTTCTTCACAGATCACTCACTCTCTTCTTGACAGCTGCTACCACACTGGAACACTATGTCATGTATTTTGCACTCAGTCAAGACGTTTGGCAGCCCTTGCTATGGCTGAAAGAGTGGCAGCAGAAAGAAGGGAACAAACTGGCCAGACAATTGGTTATCAGATCTGATTAGAAAGCAGGTACTAGTGATATTTCTTACAGTCAATTGACTGTGTGTTGGTATCTTTAGTCTTCTGTATATTTAAACTATAGTATATTTGGGATGCAGCCTAGTCAAAGTTCCACATGTAAAGCGTAGTTAGGACGTATTATTGCAGGTAACAAATATTTAAGGGTGAAAAGGACAGTTTTCCTCCTCTATTTTGTAGTTTCATATAGTAAGTTGTCTTCTGGAACTGAATTGCAAGTGCTTTCTCTTGATTTCTTCTAGGGAGTGTGTGTGTGGAAATTCTTGTCTTTTTTTCAGATCAAGCTTATGTGTTCCTCTCTCTATTTTTTTTTGTTTTCCTCCCTACTTTTAATGTGTGAATCC